CGTATAGCAATGCATTCTTGGGTAATCGTATATTAATTAAACGTCTCCAGATTTATTTTCTGGAAACGCTTGTGTATTGTTACACTTATATCTCCGCTAAAGGTGGAATAACAAAATGTTAATTGCACTTCAATCTAGTACTGGGTTTTGTCTCCCCACGTTTCAGTAAAATCCTTGGTTAAATCAAAGATACGAGAGAAATATTCTCTAGTGTTTTGGGTTAAATTTAGTAGATTAAGATATCAAGCATTATTATACTAGTACGCAACCCATCGGACAATAAATACTAGTAGCTACAAGTCTACCGAGAGCGTGTCAAAAGAAGCTGCAATCGCTGATATAGTACGCACCAGCGGGGATAAACTAAACTCCAACCAAATACACGAACTTGCGCCAAGATTTTGAGACGCAGTCGTGGCAAATTGCAACTGTACGACAATGCAATCTCGAATAATTTTCAATATAAAATGCAACATATTTGAACTTCAAATCTTCAATTCTCAACACAACAAAAATATATAAATGGACAAAAAAACCTGTTTTCATTTTTGATGTAAATGAAAAAGACGCCAAGACGGTTACATTGCGCATGCTCGAATGCAAAAGTGTGCAAGCTTCAGCCTCGTTCGAGGCTAAGACAAATGTTGCCACAAACATGAAAATGACACAACAGACAAATTATCAACCGCTTGGAGTTTGTAAATTTCTTCAAAGTTCCTAAACCTAACGTGTGAATATATAATCTACCATGGCAGTTTTTAGTTTTAATGGATGATTATCTTGTTATTTTCAGAGATCATAAAACACAGAGACGTGGATTTATTTGGTAACTAGTCTCTCCGTGGTTCTTTCTGTATAATCATCATAGCCATCCAGAGCTTCTTTGGGTGTTCAGCTAATAAAAAAAAGATGAAAATGAAATAAATGTCAGCTTCTCTGTAATTTGTGGTTATATGTACGTGTTTGCCCTCAGTCGTGCGAGTACGAGTATTGTAAAATAAGTTATTTTCACTGACGTGTAATTTCACTGTTTGGGTGTTTTGAGCATGCTCAGCGTGAAATGTAAATCGTGTTAATGTCACGAGCAAATACCCACACCAGCAGATATACGATTTGAAAACTAATCAAAATTTGATCCGGAGGGCGGACTAACTGTTTTTGATCGTGCTCCGCAATACTAAAAAAGCAGCGACGGGGAAACTGTCGATTTTTAGTTGTTGCTTGCGTTCGTCGTCGACGTACTGAGTAATCGATGACACAATGTAGCCATTCTTTGTAGTGTATGCGTTTTGAAACACGTGACCAATGTGAGTGTGTGTGCGTTTTGGGACCGCAGAGATAGAGTTTATTTGTATGAAACAGACCCTGTTAACGCCCTCGGCGCATACATTTGCGTTACCGCGACCGTTATATCGTTAGCTCTGAAACACAGTAATCGTCCAAGTCTGTACGTCAATCTGCATATCTAATAGGAGTGTATTCGTACTGTACTAATATATGCATATGTGGTAACACATTTTTCACCATTTGACAAAAGTAAATTTGGTGTTTTAGTGCTGTGAATGCGCGCGTGTGCGTGCATTTTATACATCACAAAAATTAAATTCATACTTCTAGAAGTTGCCTGACAAAACGCAGAAAGTCACTGGGAAGATTATTGGCCACGTTGGGTGTACTGAGTTTTTGTTCATGTTCTTCAAATCTAGACTATATGCATCAACAAGAACCTATTTGTGTATAAGAGTATAACACGAGTTTCGCTTTATTCAACCTACCTTCGATTCTTATAAGGTGAAACTCTTTGACATCTGACGGGTGATTGGTTATAACTGTGCCAGTACGGTTTGCTATCTGGCGGATATTCTTGCCCTAAAAATAAACATAAATTTAAACAAAGTTTGTGAGCATATTTCATCATTTTTCGGAATAAATACCATTTCACGTGCTGCCAAGTGAAAAATCATATTGTGATCAAGGCTTCGTGTGGCACCCACCGTAGAAAAGAAAAGCAAAACACTTCCGTGTTCTATAGACACGTACACAATACATAAGCTAGTGAATGCACGTGCTGTGTTTGTTCAGAATGCGAGTTGAGTTATAGACACCTGTATTTACGGCGTACTCACCTTTCTGCCGATAAGTCTGGGCATACTGCCAGCCGGATAAGGGAATTCTGTTACGTAATTACCACATTCCGTGGACTGTGATTCACTGCAAAGGAAAAAAAATAAACGTGGACACTTCACAAATGTACTGGATCGGTACTTTCGTTTTCTAGTTTCGGTTTCTCTTTTTTGTTAAACAAACCACTGACAAAACACGACACAAAATCCATAAATAGAGTTGTAACGTATATAAAAATATATACATAATTTGATCACAGAGCGGGTGACGTAACATCAATACCCAGTCATTAGTTTACATGTATCGACTCAATTAAAAATAGATACGGCGACAGCCACACACGCGGCAGTCATCGCCACGTAGAGTTCGTTGCATGACATTCCCAGCAAATTTTAGAAACACTTTTTCATGAAAGTCGCTTACCTCTTACTGACACTGTTCATTGTTCTTCTGTCTTCACTCATTTCAGATGCTGTGTCCTCGACGTCGTCCTCCTCTTCCGTCACTTCTAACGACACCTGTACCCCGCGATCGCGAACTGCCACTTTGCTCCTACTGATGACGTCATCAACTTGAACTCCCACGCTCACACTCTTCACTTCTCTCGCATCTGACGCAGGTGGCGTTTCACTTACGGATGTTGGTGATTTTTTCGCTTTTCTCTTTTTCCTTTTCTTGGCATCCGTTGTCATTGGATGAGTCTGCGCAGTTGTCGGGTCTTTGCTTTCTTGGGGGGTTTCTGCTTGCAGTCGAGCCAATGTTCTGACGGCGTTTCCGACATCTTTTGGCGGTTTTTTCTTCGCGTTTTTCGTACTGTCACTTTTTTTAAGAATACCATCAAGTTTGTCTTTTGCTTCTTTCGCCAGCTTCCTGCCTTTCCGCCCCGTACCACCAGAGGGCGGAATAGTTATGTTCTCAACTTCGTTGATGTCGCCGAAACTTGGTTCAATATCTTCCATTTGTTCGGTTTTAGGTGCAATTTTCTTTCGATGGTCCACTTCTGGTCCTTTCGTCTTTTCTTGTTTCGTCTTTTTTCCTGATGATTGGTTCTTCTTTGTCTCCGTATCTAGTAATACACCTTTGTTATCAGTTGACACATTTTCAGCCTTTTCTGGCAATTTGATAATTTTTTCTTGTTTCGACTTTTCATTTCTTTCTTTTGCGTTCTTCGAATTTTCCGTTTTCTTTAACGTTGGCGGCGCTGTCCCCACTTGGTGTATGTCTGTTTTAGTCTGCTTTGCACTTGATTTGGAATTTTTCCTATCTTTAGGAAACTCATCTTCGTCGGTCGGTAACATTTGTTTAGAAATTTGTTTCTCCGTACCCACTTCTTTAATCGAATGTCGCCGTCGGCGGCGCTTTTTTGACGTGTCCTCGCACTTTTCTTGGTGACTTGAATCGATGTCGCTGTCGTAACCAGATGGTATCGGCATTAAGTCACGTAACTCTGCAATATATGCGGTATCCGATTCGGGCTCTTCTTGGTCCCTGTTACACGCGACAACCGTCACGGTAGCATGACCTTTGTTTCCCTTGACACGCTCCAAGTCTGAGTCACTGTCCCTATCCATCGCGATAAGTTCAAATTCTAGGAACTCCGGTGGCTTGTCAATATCGCTCATTACCGCCTCGTCGATCGTTTCGACAACTTTAGCCGGCGTTCCCGAGTTTAATTGGGAAAAACGACTCTGTCTTTTATCTACATCAGGCCCGGGTTGTTTTTTTATGATGGCGATATCCTTTGTATTTTCAAGTACCGGTTTCGCGGCATGTGTTGGGCTAAGTTCAGGACTACATTTATTTTCTGCTCTTGTAATTCCCGAATTATTAATCTCACTCGGGCACTTCCGTTTAGTCTCGTTACAGCTGTTACCATTTCTGACCGTAACTGGTTTCACAATGTCTCCTTTCCTCGGTACTGGATCGACGTCATCGCACTCATCTGCACTCAGTACCACCATCGAAAAACCCTCTTCTTTAATCTCTAGAGACCTACGCCGTTCTTTGCCCACGTTTTTGATATTGAGGCAATCTTGTCTGACCGCGGGGATTGTCTTTAAAACGTCTTCAGAAGGCTCATTTCCAATGATATTTGCCCGTTGTCTCTCTGTCTCGCTTTCGTCCTCTCGTAGTTCGGTGGGATTAGGCGTAATAACGACCTTTGGAAACACTTCTCTACTTGTAACTTCAATTTCGACTTGTTTAGATTCCACAGGGGATCCACCGTCCTTTTCTGTTACGATTGTTTTTATGGTTTCTTGGACTTTTTCATGCTCGCCATTTTGATTTTCTTTAGTCGAAGACTTATCAGAATATTCAGTTTGGCGGGCGATGTGCAAATATTCTTCCGGATTTCGTGTACTAGCACCCTCTACGTCAGTTTTTGGCGCTCGTTGTTTTGCCGGGTCAATTTGAGCAGACGGAATTGGTTCAATGGTATCGTCTGCGCGTTGTTCAGTCGGCATATCTACCAGACGATTGGCAACTTCGGTTTTCTCATTTTTGCCGAAAAGCGAAGTGCTACGTTCTATTATTCGCGTTTTCAAAACTCTATTGGTATCACCGGAACTCTCGTCGCTCCCTGATACATCAAATGCGGATTCTATGGCAGTGTATACGCGAGTGTACGTTTTGTCGCGGACAACGCGGTTGCCATGTTCTTCTAAAGTTTTGTTTTCCGTCGCCGGATTTTTCTCCGCGTTAACTGGGGCAGTCGTCGGTGTATTTTTATTATGATCCTGCATCGTTACAGTATCCGGTGTATTTGTGACATCGAGGGCAGACGTAGCGGCCGCAGATTCATCGTTGGTGATCACATCATTGCGTTCACAGGGCTCTGCCGTGTCGGGAGACAATATTACACATGCATCCGTAGTTTGTACGTCTTCCACACCACTTTTTGTGATCTGGTCATTTCCTGTACAACCTCGAATTTCATCATCGATTTTTTCCTCATGTGTGTTTCGATTAAGGGTTTCTAAAGTTTCATTAGTCGAAATGCACTTATCATTGGGCGTTATTGGTAAATTATTATTTTTAGAATCAATTATCTTTCCTTCATCGCCGGGTCGGGCAGCATCATTTGTGCTACTTGGAAGATCTTGGCTCTCGCCAGAATTTTCTACACACTCTGTTTTGACAGTGGACTTGCTGGGTACCAACTCACTCGATTCCCCTGTTTTACTATTTTGCTCCGATGTAACTGGTATTGCCTCTGTCGCAATTTCTTCGGTTCTGGTTACGCCGTCCGGTGGTACGTATGGAGACGATTGACCAGTTGGTGGCGCACTCTCAAATACAGGTGTACTAATGCTGCTGATGTCGTCAATTGTACTACCAAGCGAAATGTCACGTTTGTATCCTTCGTCGGAATTGTCCTGCTTTTCACCGATAACATGGCTATCATCAATCGCTTTTGAATCTACTGTTACATTTACATTATTTGTACTTTCTAAGATATTGTATTTTGTGTCTTCTGTAGTTGGCGATTCGACTTGAGCCTCAGCTATCGTTTTTGTCTCCGCCTCTGACAGCGCGCTAACGGGAGCGCCACTATCCGACATCGATACATCGGCGTCAGCGTCTATGTCTTCGTTGTCAAGTAAAATTGCGCTTTTTACGTCATTTGCGTTGGGTAGTTGTCCACGTGATATGTTACTATTAGTAGTCACCTTGCCAATTTCTGGCGCTAACTTTATGTCGCTATCACTATCGGCTACGTTTATGGGTTCTGGACTGTGGCCGTCGCACATACGATTGTCGATGGGCATTGGTTCGACTGTATCTGTTAAACTTTCTATTACTTTTTCGTCTAATAGCTTCACGTTTTCATCACTATGTTCAATTGAAGACTGTTGGTCGACCACAGCAGCGACAATGTCGTGATCATCATTATCGAACACCTGTGGCTGATTAAAACAGTCTGTAGTGACATTACCTCTGGGCAACGTGACATCACTACTAGTTACCATGTCGTGACCAGTTGTTACTATGGCATCATGACTGGGTAAAGTGACATTATCACTGGTTACCATGGCACGTGGTTCGTCCTTATTAGTATTCTCCAGAGAATCGCGTAACTGATATGTGTTTTCAGTTGCGCCTGAGACCACATTACGCCCTCTGTCATTAGTTTCCGGTTTTGGGTAATTTTTGGGACCAGTTTCTGTTTCTGGTTGTACATCCTCGTTGGGATCATCTTTCGTCATCAGCGCATGCTCATTTGATGTGGTAAGCCTGGGCTGCGACGTGAATTCTACATCACGCACTGCTTTCAAGGGGTGTAATATTTCAGGCTGATGTTCAACGTCAGGTAAATGTTGAGCAGTGTTCATGTCCTGTTGTTGATCACCCCCCTTATCAAAATTTTCACCTTTACATTGAGGTCGCGCTTTCAATCCAGTTTCAAAATCGTGTTCACCTAACCTGAGGTTCTCTTCAGTTGACGGTAATCCTGTCTCCTCGTTTATCAGCGGTTGCCTGGCAACGGCGAGGGTTTCAGATATATCGGCACCTGTTTTGATTGCTCCTGATTGAGTTACACTATCGTGATCAGAACATGAATCAGCTCCAGACTCATTCTCGCCAATTGACGTAATTTTGACGTCACCTATATCATTTTCTTCCTTTCCCCCGACTTTTAGTGTGCATATGGTGTTGCTGTCTTCAGACGTTGCTCTTTTTTTAATTTCCTGGATTTCACTAACACTTTCCAAGTGGATGTTGTCGTATATGTCAGACCGTGAGATGGCAGAGAACGTATTCTCAGACGTAGTGTCTACGTCATCAACACGTGCACACTTCTTTTCCAACGTGTTCGGCGTCTCTTGTTCATCTCCATCATTTCGAGTGTCTCCATGTGATTCTCCGCCAAAGCCGTCCGCGTCCGCGTCGCGTATTTCTTTGCACACATCTGTAACATCTTCATCGTTTCCACGAGAATCAGAGTTGAGAAGTTCTCCAGCACTTGCGTTCTTGGGAATATTTTTATCAGTAGCCACACTCATAAACGCTTGTTCTGTACGTTCTGTTATTACAGTGTGTAAGTCACGTTCTTCCGCCACACCTTTGCTCTCTTCTTGTTTGTCCATACCATTCACCGAATCATCCGTGTTTTTGATACCAGTTATACACAGCGCCAGCCCTACATTCATACCAGATACTGTCAAATCACCCTCAGCATAACTGGTAGATAGAACACCCGAGCCTACAGGCGACTCTACTCCTTCACTCTCACAAGTCGTACCTTCGTTTGAATCGCATACGACTACAGATTCCGTATTCCTACTTACTCCGTTGCTGATTGGATTCAATTCATTCAGATCTAGTAGAACAAAGCAATAGAAAACATATTACTTAATAGTAAAGTGTTCTCTTCCGCCAAGTTTGGAAGTACAACGTACGCATTCGGGGACTGAACTGAACTGGAAATTTTGGAAATAAAAAAAAAAACATCTAGGAAGCATTGAAAGACTCTGAGCTTGACCTGAGATTCCAGAAATAAAAAAAAACACACCAAGAACGAAACAAAAACAAAAAGTACGTAATGCAAAAAATAGGAAAATGTCGTAAAGAATATGTGAATAAAATAGTTGCAAAATTCAATTTCCTCGAACCCTCTCCCCAGATCTCAAATGGACGACCCCTTATTTGTGCAATTATAAAATTTAACATGTTTACTCCGCCCAAACCTGAACAAATTGGAACTTGGAGGATGTTTAACCTTGGATAATAATATAGGGTTATCACCATGGTGACAATAATATTACATACCTGCTGCAACATCTATAACTTCATTATTTCTCATTCCCATATGACATGTGTTATCAGTTATTATCGTATCGCACATTTTGTCATCAGCTTCGGATATCATTTCAGTTTCGTTCTCTGCACCTTGTGGCTTTGCCATCAGGTCGCTAGCACTTTCTTCTGATGGGCGATTAAAAGCGTCGTCATCATCGCGCATAACGTCATTACCCGCACCGTTATTATTGTGTATATCACTTGATTCGCCATCGGTGATAGGCCCGTCGCATGTCTCGTGCGTGGTACTCGAACTTCTGGAAATCTCACGGGGTTTTGGACCGTCCACGTCAATCACACAGTTTGAAATATCACTGTTTTCTATGCGTTCAATTTCTACTTCTATTCCATTATCGAGTGAAGCTGACGTACCTTCTTCGTCCAACAGAGGGACCGTTGCACCCGAGTCACTTTCCCGCCTAGAATATTCAAATTTATCGTCCGAAGTTAGATTGTGAGCTTTTCTCCCGCGCGATAGCTCCTCACTTTCTTCTAAAAGTGGTGAATATTCTTCATTTTCTTCATTATTTTTCTTGTTCGCAAAATTGTCCAGCTCGACGATGTCGTCTGCTGCAGATTTTGACGCCCCCGCTTTGGATTTCGGGCGCTGGGAATCGCTGAATCGCCGACTTCCCTGTCGTTCTTCAATGTTCGGCTCCACTCTACTTATTTTTTTAACACCACAACATTTAGATCCCATGTTGTCGTCACTACTAACTAGTTTGCTGGGCACGTCGCCAGCACTATTATTACTACTAAAACTACTACTATTTGAGGCATGTCGACCTTCCTCTGTGCTCATGTCGCTTTCGTGCGAACTCTCGTCCACTGCTTCCTCGCCAGAAACTTCTTTCTCGCCTTGAGCTCCACTGTCCCCGCTACTATGTGAACGATAATACTCAGCAGCTAGACTAGCAGCAGCAACTACGGTTCCTAATACAAGCCCCGCTATTGCCTTTGGCAACACCATTAATGTCAGTCAGTCCGCTCGAGTTCACTGAAAAAAAGAAAGACAACATTAACATTGAAAATTGAAATTCGATCGATGGAAATCGTACTTTGTAAAAACATCGATTTTTCCTTTGCTCCATTTACACATTGATACTACGTGATCAATTCTTCTAGAAGTATTACATATATAGTTACACAGAGATCTATCTTGGATTCTTATTAAACATCTTAGACATAAATAACGTTCATGTTCCATCAGATCATTAAGACTTCATTATGTATGCAGATGATAAAAAATAATTTATTTCCATAAGAATATTTAACAAATGAAAAATGTAATAAACACGCAAAACTCGTGTACAGAACTTAAACAAACTATCAGTAGTTAAAAATCAAAAACATCAAATTACAAATTGACCAGATATATCCCACCTGATGTTAATATTGGTATTACAGTGGCGGCGGCACAGGGGAGCAGAGGGGGCTCGCCCCTTCGAAACAAATTTCGCCCCTCCAAAATCAAGCTGAAACCCTTTGTGTCAGCAACAACTGTCCCTCAAAATTAAGGAAATAGCGTTTCTGAGGGTCTATATTTCAAATTTTTTAAGAGGGACACCTAGTAAGGTCGCGCCCTCGGCACAAGATCTCACCCACCCATGCAAAATGTCGTGCCGCCGCCTCTGTATTACATTCCATTCTGTGCCACTGACAAGAGAAACTAACACGGTTTTCGTGGGCTACACATTGATAAAAACATAAACTGAAAATTCCCTATTGATCTCATAGTGAATATTGTTCTAGAAATACTGGCGTTCTAAATAAAATATTACTTACTCAAGCTAGTCCTGTTTACATTACATTGCAGCACATTAACTCCGCAATATTTAAATTGCAGCATTTTAGCCTGAGAAATGCATGTACATGAAACTGCAATAATGTACAATACGCATGCGTACCGGATAATTCGAAGTGTGTTAGATCTGACATTTCTTTTTACTATGTTCGATGCCAGAACAACATTTTCTTGTTACTATAAGCCATGCTCTTGTACAATAGTACAAAATGATTCAATTCAATTCACAGAATAGTCTCGTTTAATAGTCTACACTTTACCTCAAAAGATTTGAACAAAAAAGTGAAAACTGCAAATTTACTCAAATTGTGTCTGTTGGCTCTAAAATTATGATTCATTTCCAGAAACATTGAATATAAAAAATGCAGCAAAATTTGGGCGAGAAAGTTGTCGCTTTAATAAAAAAAATCTGGTAAACTGGAATAACTATAGTTGTTAGCTGGCGCATATAAAAGTATTTTATATTACTATTACGTACTATAAATTCACAGTGCATGCGCATGTTGGGTCGTGTTTTACGATATTCCCGAGCGCAACAGTCGCCACATCGCATTTCATGTGACGCGTACAATGCGTGTAAAAATATAATTCAGTAAGTCAAACTCAGAAGGTCCTTTGAACGCCATATTTTTTCATGCCAACATTTTAGCGCAAATTTCGAAATTGCTTGATAATTTTTTTAACCAGAAATGGACACTTTTTTTTCCATTGGTTACAGATCTCGAGTAAAATTTGTGTGAAATAAAACATACGGGTTGTAGTTCGTAACTGGTGACACAAGTTGACTTTGAAGCTCAAACTGTTAAAACGTGTCTTTTTAGGTAATTTAGTCAATGTGTTAAATTCGACAAAATGGCGGGATGTAGCTACTTCAAAGTTTTACAGCATATAAAAGTAAATAATGTCAATGAGTTCAAATAAGTACTGGGAAATAATTAAAATGCTACCCGCCGGTAAATCACGGGCATTATACAGCTGCTTCTCATTCTCGTAAATACGGATATGTGTCTGGGAATATAATGTCTGTCATCTTATGTTAACACATTGCAAATACGTTCTGCTATGAATTGGAACAAATATCTGACCCCTGACCTTAAACCGTGTTCGTTGTGGCTCAGCGTAGTATCGAGTACGACACGCGACAAGGGCGTGCATGATATGTACGGACCCATGCTACTGACGTCACATGGGCAATGACGTAATGATTCATGGGATTAATGAAATGATGGCTGAATCCAGAATCCCTACCCCAACAAGTGAATAAATGTAATCATGTTACAATCCGCGACAACAAAATCTTACATATTAACCAAATGATATTCAAGGGTGAGTCATTTTATTTTCTCTGGGGTGGCGAGGCTTGAATCGGAAAAAAAAAACGATCGCAAAAAAAAAATGACCAGTCCTTTATACCGAGAAAATTTCAGTGTCCCGATTTCACAGTTGGATTAAAGATTTGAACGAATGTGGATTTTTGATAAAGTTAATTTCTTGGTTAATCAGACGGCAAGTACCTTACCTCATGATGCGGCGGATTGCGCATGACCGTTGGATCTCTGGCGACGGGCACGATATATTCCCTGCAATTATTGAATATTTGTCGATAATCTTCTAATATATATCGGCATACTGCATATAAACAATTAGTGGGCCATATTTCAATGAGATCAGCGAGCTAACACGGTATCTTTTTTTAAAAGGCCATCAACCCCGTTACAGGCGATGACATTCTTCAATACGTCGCCTCATGCACACGTACGGGAAACGAACATGCTTTGCATACCTGTGTCGAACAAACAGTAATGTATTCAACTGCCCCTATTTTCACATCGTGTCTCCCGAGGCAAGGCGGAGCCAACTGGATTATTATACAAGAGAGCCGTCTCCCTTAAACGTGATGATGGTACAACGGAACGCGCAACGCGTCTATGGAAAGTACAATTAAACGTGTTGAGTGAGCACCCTGGGAAAAAATATGAAGAAGTCTGCTTCACTAAGTAATATCCGCTATCAGTGGCACGCATCGCTTGAACTCCGTCGTATTAATAGACTGATTGGTGCTTATTGAGTGATATATGGTTTCCTCATATGGGTTACGAGAACACAGCGCCACCAATTGAATGACAATGATATTTAAATAATTTATATATCATATACATATTAGAATTAGTGAAGTTATTTAATTGAAGGGAGGAAAAGTGACCAGGGTTGTGAAAACAACCTGCATTGGTACCTCCAAAATAAATACGGTCTATTCGACGGAAACTTTGAACAAATGAAGCAAATGTATGTTTTGATTTACGTCATATATATATATACTTGGACCTCCCGTAAAATCGCAATTCAATACAGTTGTACACGCGGATATGTCGAATATTGATTAACCTCTTTGCATGTAGCGGTCCCGATGATCATCGAACCGGGTATTTCGGCCTAGACCGACCACCGAGACCGAATATTTATTTCAAGATTCCGACTGCGGGTCAACTATTCTTGGAATGCTGTGTGCGCTATCCAGTTCTACTCGTTCATGGCGAGTTACGAAACCGACATCACATCGCCGTGTCAATCCACGGTCGCGATGCTCCGTAGCGCGAATAGAGATGCTTCGTTAGTATCCGCCCTCATCAGCTCCCCCCCCAAAAAATGCGTTTGTACTTACTTGTAGTTCATAATCTGAACGCCGACGTCGTGTAACATATTATCCACGTGGTAATGGATCTGACTGCGAGCTCGGTGTTCACTGAGTTGTAGCTTGACGTCACGATTCTCGTCTGGTTGTACGTGATATCACGTAGAATCGAAGTTAACGCGTGGAATGGGTTTCAAGTATCATGTCTCGTAACCCAACGCAGCCAAACCCGCCTGTTTACTCTGAATTATCACGATTAACACGGCTAAATTGTATAAGTGCGTAAAATTCAATGACAAAGAGCAAATACAAAGTACGGGCCCGGTACTGAACATATTTCCATGGAAACTACAACATTATGATAGTGTTAAGGCAGAAACCTTCTCATAAATGCAAATACCGAAATTGCAATAACTTGTACCGCAGAGTAATATATGGAAATTGAATTTAAAAAAGTTTGGGGTCACCGGCTTAATTTTTGTCAAAATTAAATACAACTGTATTTTAGTGGATTGTGGCCATTTTGTTCGTATTATAACGCCTTTGCGATAGGCTCCCATGGCAGAGATCATGTTATGCCATATCTTAAATTGTGGGCGGGTGACATAGGCTGAAAAAACAAACATATATTGTGAATAATGGGTTATTTTATGTTTTCCTGAATTCTATCAAAAATCTGAGGTTTGAAAAGTGCAATTATTCCTTAACACTGTCTTCTATGGAATTGTTCAATTTTTGAAATTAC